TCTCCACTTCGCTGATCCTCAACACTGGGGCCCCACAAGGGTGCGTGCTCAGCCCCCTCCTGTACTCCCTGTTCACCCATGACTGCGTGGCCAAGCACGCCTCCAACTCAATCATCAAGTTTGCCGACAACACAACGGTAGTAGGCTTGATTACCAACAATGACAAGACCACCTACAGGGAGGAGGTGAGGGCTCTGGGAGTGTGGTGCCAGGAAAATAACCTCTCACTCAACATCAACAAAACAAAGGAGATGATTATGGACTTCAGGAAACAGCAGAGGGTGCACCCCCCTATCCACATCGACGGGACCGCAGTGGAGAAGGTGGAAAGCTTCAAGTTCCTTGGCGTACACATCACCGACAAACTGAAATGGTCCACCCACGCAGACAGTGTGGTGAAGAAGGCGCAACAGAACGTCTTCAACCTCAGGAGAATGAAGAAATTTGGCTTATCACCTAAAACCCTCTAACTTTTACAGATGCACAATTGAGAGCATCCTGCCAGGCTGTATCACCGCCTGGTACGTCAACTCCACCGCCCACAACCGCAGGGCTCTCCAGAGGGTGGTGCGGTCTGCCAAACACATTACCAGAGGCAAACTACCCACCCTCCAAGACACATACAGCACCCGATGTCACAGGAAGGCCAAAAAGATCATCAAGGACATCAACCACCCAAGCCACTGCCTGTTCACCCGTTATCAACCAGAAGGCGAGGTCAGTACAGGTGCATCAAAGCTGGGACAGAGAGAATGAAAAACTGCTTCTATCTCAAGGCCATCAGACTGTTAAATAGCTATCACTAGCACATTAGAGGCTGCTGCTGCCTATTGAAATCACTGGCCACTTTAAGAAATGGAACACTAGTCACTTTAATAATTTTTACATATCTTGCACTACTCATCTAATATGTATATACTGCATTCTATTCTATAATATTATTCTGTATCTTAGTCCATGCCGCTCTGTCATTGCTTGTCCATATATGTATATATTCTTAAATCCCATTCCTTACTTTTTGTGTGTATTGGGTATATGTTGTGAAATTGTTAGATATTACTGCACTGTCGGAGCTAGAAGCACAAGCATTTCGCTACACTCGCTATAACATCTGCTAAACACGTGTATGTGACAAATAACATTTGATTAGATTTTGATTTGCTCACCCCATCCCCATAGTGAAGCATGATGCTGTGGGGATGTTTTTCCATCGGCAGGGACTGGGAAACTGGTCAGAATTGAGGGAAACCTGTTTCAGTCTTCCAGAGATTTGAGAATGGGACGGAGGTTCACCTTCCAACAGGACAATGACCCTAAGGATACTGCTAAAGCAACACTCAAGTGTATTTTTTTAACCTTTATTTAAGTAGGCAAGTCAGTTAAGAACAAATTCTTATTTACAATGACGGCCTACACCGGCCAAACCCGGACAAATTGTGCGCCGCCCTATGGGACTCCCAATCACGGCCGGTTGTGATACAGCCTGGAATCGAACCAGGGTCTGTAGTGACACCTCAAGCACTGAGATGCAGTGCCTTAGACCGCTGCGCCACTCGGGAGTGGTTTAAGGGGAAACACTTAAATGTCTTGGAATGGCCTAGTCAAAGCCCAGACCTCAATCCAATTGAGAATTTGTGGTATGACTTAAAGATTGCTGTACACCAGCGGAACCCATCCAACTTGAAGGAGCTGGAGCAGTTTTGCCTTGAAGAATGGGCAAAATTCCCAGTGGCTAGATGTGCCAAGCTTATAGAGACATACCCCAAGAGACTTGCAGCTGTAATTGCTGCAAAAGGTGGCTCTACAAAGTATTGACTTTGGGGGGGATGAATAGCTATGCATGCTCAAGTGTTGTTATTTCTTGTTTGTTTCACAAAAAAAAAATATTTTGCATCTTCAAAGTGGTAGGCATGTTGTGTAAATCAAATGATACAAACCCCCCCCAAAATCAATTTTTATTCCAGGTTGTAAGGCAACAAAATAGGAAAAATGCCAAGGGGGGTGAATACTTTCCCAAGCCACTGTAACACTCACTTATGTATCCGAACGTGCTGTGAAGGGGTTGAGGGAAAGATTGACACCAGGATTTGGTGAGTTTTCATAAAGAGAACAAGCTGCTAGCGATTAGGCTAGCTAAGCTATTGCTAGCATTTTGTGTGTGTTCATACTGAACCAAGCATACGTACAAGTCATTAACATTTAGTCTAGCTCAGCTATCGATCAATTGAAATAGCAAACGTTAGTGATCATGCTAATCATGCATGGCGAACTATTTTAGTTTTCATACTTTTATCAAATGTGATTAGCTATTATCATAATCCATTTTGGTACTCAGTTATGTTTTAGATTACTTTATAAGAAATAGGGGATAGGCGTAAGCACTAGTACTTTCCATTTGCCCAGGCTAGTCTATTGTTCAGTCCATGTGAGCCTGGTGTTGTAGTTGTGTAAAGTCCATTGCATTGCCCAGGCTAGTCTATTGTTTAGTCCATGTGAGCCTGGTGCTGTAGTTGTGTAAAGTCCATTGCATTGCCCAGGCTAGTCTATTGTTTAGTCAATGTGAGCCTGGTGCTGTAGTTAAAGTCTAAAGCAAGTTATATTTTCTTATTCCTCTAAGAGATTAGAGCTAAAATCTATATTAATGTTTATATGAAAGGTACGCATGGTATATATATTGTGTGATCCTGTTCGTAAAACAGGTCAGGTTTTTTTGAGTATGGATTCAGTTCCACCAAGCGAGCCGCCCGAACCCAGGTCTTCCATAAGAAGATTTGCTTGCGAAGATTGCGTTTTCATTTTCCTTGGAGGACACTGAATTTGCACCGCCATACTACGGTGTGGTAGGATTCTTTGTTGCAAGACATCATAGCGCCATACATTAGTGGGACTGTCATAAGCACATACCACATTTAAACACCTTAGTGTTTATTGATATGCATAGTCACTCACATTTGATTCCATCTCATAGTGGTTTATAAGTCACTATTTGTAAATTGGGTTGTGTTTTCAGGGGATTAATGTTTATTGTATTTGTATTGAACTTTGAACATTGAAAGCTGAGATACCCTCAGATTAAAATAGAGTTGGGTGCACCCTAGTAAACTATAGGTGGGATACATGGCCGATATCTTAGTTTATTGTACTGTTGATGTATTGAATTCATATTGAGCTCATTGTACAAAGTTCACAAATCAATATTTACTCAAGGTGATTTTTTTTTGTACACATTTTTATTTACAAAATACAAGCCGGCATTCTTTTACTAAATTATTCAGTTGTCCGGTCTTCATTTCTCCCTACTGCTCCAGTAGTGAACCTAACTGGTCCAATAGAGTTTAAGCCCATAGTGTAATCACCTTTGAATACAGTAGCCCATAGTGTAATCACCTTTGAATGTGGACTGTATCACTATATATACTGGATGGACTGGTTACCTATGCTACACTCCAAAATGTATATCCATGAGTCTGAGAGAGAAAGTACAGCCCTAGGTGAAACTGTTGGTTCATTGATTGTGCAGGGCGGCTTACAGTTAGCCTACAATTAACCCCAACATTTCTCAATTTTCATATTTTCGTAATTAATTGGGTGACACCTTACCTTTATCTATACAGAAAATCTCACCACCATGCGTTTCCATGTCCTCCTCTCTCTCCTTTATTCCTTTCTCGAGCGGCAGAGGGGCTGTCAACAGTTCAGTGAAATATGTTTAGTTGCGAAAACATGTTACTATCGATGTTCCAAAACAGATTTCACTTGGTTTCTGGAATTAAGCACTGCAGGAACAGGGATGGAGAGCACATGGCATACAGAGTTTGGGCGGAATATCACCTGTCGCGCAGTGAGAGCATGCTCCTCAAACAGTGGTTGATGCGTGGAGTGAAATGTGTTCTTACAGTGGCTTGGGAAAGTATTCACCCCCCTTGGCATTCTGACCAGTTTCCCAGTCCCTGCCGACGGAAAACATCCCCACAGCATGATGCTGCTACCACCATGCTTCACTGTGGGGATGGTGTCCTCGGGGTGATGAGAGGTGTTGGGTTTGCGCCAGACATAGCATTTTCCTTGATGGTCAAAAAGCTCAATTTCTGTCTCATCTGACCAGAGTACCTTCTTCCATATGTTTGGGGAGTCTCCCACATGCCTTTTGGCAAACACCAAACGTGTTTGCTTATTTTTTTCTTTAAGCAATGGCTTTTTTCTGGCCACTCTTCCATAAAGCCCAGCTCTATGGAGTGTACGGCTTAAAGTGGTCCTATGGACAGATACTCCAATCTCCGCTTTGGTCTCTTTGTTGCCTCTCTGATTAATGCCCTCCTTGCCTGGTCCGTGAGTTTTGGTGGGCGGCCCTCTCTTGGCAGGTTTGTTGTGGTGCCATATTCTTTCCATTTTGGAATAATGGATTTAATGGTGCTCCGTGGGATGTTCAAAGTTTCTGATATTTTTTTATAACCCAACCCTGATCTGTACTTCTCCACAACTTTGTCCCTGACCTGTTTGGAGAGCTCCTTGGTCTTCATGGTGCCGCTTGCTTGGTGGTTCCCCTTGCTTAGTGGTGTTGCAGACTCTGGGGCCTTTCAGAACAGGTGTATATATACTGAGATCATGTGACACTTAGATTGCACACAGGTGGACTTTATTTAACTAATTATTTGACTTCTGAATGTAATTGGTTGCACCAGATCTTATTTAGGGGCTTCATAGCAAAGGGGGTGAATACATACGCACGCACAACTTTTCCGTTATTTATTTTCTAGAACTTTTCTAAACAAGTATTTTTTTTCATTTCACTTCACCAATTTGGACTACTTTGTGTATGTCCATTACATGAAATCCAAATAAAAATCCATTTAAATTACAGGTTGTAATGCAACAAAATAGGAAAAACGCCAAGGGGGATGAATACTTTTGCAAGGCACTGTAATATCCGGTTTTCTCTTTTTAGTTCAGTTTTAGACAACTTCTCATGACGATTTGAAACTTTGTTTTTCTTCCATATAATGGCGGTAGCTCTTCACGTTCTGTTCCAGCACCTTTTCAACATGTTGGCGCCCACTGGTGTAGAGCGTGAGGTTAGCAGAGGGACTAAGATAGAATATTGAGTTTTGATTGGCTCAAAATAAACTGCTCGTCATGCAGCTTCTGACAGCTGATTTGTAAAAGCTGTCAACTTTTAAACATATCACAATATAATATATGATTGGTTACTGGAATCTCTCTGGAATCTCTCTAGTATCGATAGTATTCAACATCAGTTGACCTGCGTTACACGGATGTAACCCATTCCTGGCAATCTGGCAATATTGTTGAAATTCATTGGAAGTTTGCACCAACTATGTGGAAGCCCATTTTCACTCCTATTTGTTGAGCGAAATGTGTGTGCATTTCACCAATATGCAGACATGACAACAAATGTCCACATTGCAGCTGGGGGTGGACCACAGCGTGTTGTCTCTTGACAATTGGGCATCATTGGCAAAAGTGGGCATGTAAGTAATCCATACACAACCCTCCAGTAAGTCGGGACGAACTCACTTACAAAACTCTGTTTTGGACGAGACTGACTTTATGACCAACATGTTCCTATTTACACGTTGTAGTCAATTTTGACACAATAATGAATGTTTCTGACTAATAACGATGCCACGTAAGCTGTTTAAAACCAGATAAGTTGGTTAAGTGGCAGTTGACCTTTAAACAGACAGATTCTTATGGGGATGTTTAAAAAAATGCTAATTAGATTGACGAACGGCGTGTTTTCATCATCATTGTAAAGCCCTAGTTATTTTGTTGCTTAGACAAAGTAATTTCTGAAGATTATTATTTATTTCATATGATTAGTGATTCATCTAATCACATGAAGTGTCTGTCCCTCATTTTAAGGTCAACACTGTTACTTGAACTGAACTCTCGTTTTAATATGGTGAAACTATTCATTTTAAAATATACAGTACCAGTCAAAATTTTGGACACACATACTCATTCAAGGGTTTTTCTTTATTTTGACTATTCTTTACATTGTAGAATAATAGTGAAGACATCAAAACTATGAAATAACACATATGGAATCATGTAGTAAACAAAAAAGTGTTAAACAAATCAAAATATATTTTATAGTTGAGATTCTTCAAATAGCCACCCTTTGCCTTGATGACAGCTTTGCACAGTCTTGACATTCTCTCAACCAGCTTCACCTGGAATGCTTTTTCAACAGTCTTGAAGGAGTTCCCACATATGTTGCGCATTTGTTGGCTGCTTTTCCTTCACTCTGCAGACCGACTCATCCCAAACCATCTCAATTGGGTTGAGGTCGGGGGATTGTGGAGGCCAGGTCATCTGATGCAGCACTCCATCACTCTCCTTCTTGGTAAAATAGCCCTTACACAGCCTGGAGGTGTGTTGGGTCATTGTCCTGTTGAAAAACAAATGATAGTCCCACTAAGCCCAAACCAGATGGGATGGCGTATCGCTGAAGAATGCTGTGGTAGCCATGCTGGTTAAATGTGCCTTGAATTCTAAATAAATCACATACAGTGTCACCAGCAAAGCACCCCCACACCATAACACCTCCATTTTCCCTGCTTTATGTTGGGAAATACACATGCAGAGATCATCCGTTCACCCACACTGCGTCTCACAAAGACACGCGGTTAGAACCAAAAATCTCCAATTTGGACTCCAGACCAAAGGACACATTTCCACCGGTCTAATGTCCATTGCTCGTGTTTCTTGGCCCAAGCAGGTCTCTTCTTCTTACTGGTGTCCTTTAGCAGTGGATTCTTTGCAGCAGTTCGACCATGAAGGCCTGATTCACACAGTCCCCTCTGAACAGTTGACGTTGAGATGTGTCTGTTACTTGAGGCTGTAATTTCTGAGGCTGGTAACTCTAATGAACTTATGCTCTGCAGCAGAGGTAACTCTGGGTCTTCCATTCCTGTGTCTTTCCTCATGAGAGCCCGTTTCATCATAGTGCTTGATGGTTTTTGTGACTGCACTTGAAGAAACTTTCAAAGTTCTTGAAATGTTCCGTATTGACTTACCTTCATGTCTTAAAGTAATGATGGACTGTCGTTTCTCTTTGCTTATTTGAGCTGTTCTTGCCATAATATGGACTTGGTCTTTTACCAAATAGGGCTATCTTCTGTATACCCCCACTACCTTGTCACAACACAACTGATTGGCTCAAACGCATTAAGAAGGAAAGAAATTCCACAAATTAACTTTTAAGAAGGCACACTGCTTAATTGAAATGCATTCCAGGTGACTACCTCATGAAGCTGGTTGAGAGAATGCCAAGAGTGTGCAAAGCTGTCATCAAGGCAAAGGGTGGCTATTTGAAGAATCTCAACTATAAAATATATTTTGATTTGTTTAACACTTTTTTGTTTACTACATGATTCCATATGTGTTATTTCATAGTTTTGATGTCTTCACTATTATTCTACAATGTAGAAAATAGTAAAAATAAGGAAAAACCCTAGAATGAGTAGGTGTGTCCAAACTTTTTACTGGTGCTTTAAAATTGTCAAATGTGACCGACCACCTCGATTTGGTCTTAAGTAGCAAAATTCGAAATTGTGTTTTTTACATTGGATAAAAGTAGAGACTCAGAGCTACAAAATGATATATCATACACTGCAGTTGAGGAACAACGGGAAAGTAATGAAAGTTGGTAAGCTTTGAAAGTTGATAAACTTGTAACCCCACTTTTGAGAAAATTGCCTTTGAATGTTTTGGTACACGTACTGGAGAGCTCTTCTTTGTCTACACCTGTTCAGCATCGTTCACACCTTCTTAAGCCTTAGCCCCCACCCATCTCTTTAAGGATTCACATGAAAGGCCATGTACTAAGAATGAGTAAGGTATAGTAGTAAACAACCAAAGATTTCAAGACTAAAAGTGGTTTAATTAGTAGCCTACAATAAGGAAAAACTTCAGGTAAAAATACACTTTATCTAGTCCTTGGCCTATATCCCAATCTGACTTTGAAATTGTCCAGATAAAAATATTGTATAAATATTTTATTATAATTAATAGATGATGCTTACCCAGACACTTGTGTAAATGTATGTGTCATATGAAATAAATGCTATAACCACACCCCAGCCACATCTAGCTAAGTGGTTGAGTCACTATTGTCTAGACATGTACACATGTTCATGAAATTCAATAGTTTGCCGTAATCACCCCCAGAAACACCTGGCTAACTTGATGGGTCATATAATCATTTTCTTGCGAAGTGGAGTCTTTTGTTTAGACAGCTAGCTAAACAATGAACCATAATCCCAACCAATAGCTACAGTACAAACGGATTGTTATAGCTAGTCACCATGCATGAAATAATGGGAGTATGAATCTGCAGGTAGCTAAAGTTAACCAACTAGGTTCAATGTTAGCTAGCTAGCTAACATAAGGCTATAACTAGCCATGCAAATGGATTTCTGAGATACAAATAATATTACTACACAGATCATTCACATAATGTTAACTAGCGAGCCAGCAAGCTAACATTCGCTAGCTAAGAGTACGCTTTAACTTGCAATGAAAACAACTTTCTGACAAAATTAGAAACGTATAATATCTGAAAATTTAGCTAGACCCGTACACATGGAGAATGCTTCACGGCAGCGTGTCTTTTCCGTTTGGTTTGTAGCTAGCTACAGCTTGTTCGGTCCTGTCACGCTCTGACTCTGAGGACTTGTATTTGTTGAGTCAGGGTGTGTATTTTCTGTGTTGTGTGTTGCTATGTTGATTTCTATGTTTTAGATCTAGCATGTGCAGATCTATGTTGGCCGGGGTGGTTCCCAATCAGAGGCAGCTGTAGCTCGTTGTCTCTGATTGGGGACCATACTTCGGCAGCCTTTTGGCACCTGTTAGTTGTGGGATCTTGTTCCGTGTAAGGTATGTTGTGTGTATGCTACCTTGGACTTCACGTTTTGTTTGTTGTTTTGTCGTGGTGTTTATTCGTTAAATAAACATGTATGCTTATCACGCTGCGCCTTGGTCCTTCTCGTTCGTAAACGATCGTGACAGGTCCGTTGTTATGTCAAGTCACCCCGGTTCACACTGACCGTGTGCAGAAAGTAGTCCATCACAACTTTTTCCCACTGATCTTTGTCGATAGCACCTGCTAAATTCTGGGCAGCAATGGTGTTGAGAGCAGTAGCAACGCTTTCAAAAAAGCCGCAGTAGCAAGGATTATCTACACATACTGAGCAGCTTATATTATAGACAGAAGCGTGCTACATGGCAGACCAAGTCTTTTTCCGTGGCTAAACCAACTAGGCTCGTAATTTAACAATTATATTCGTATTTACAGATGACATAGAAGTTTGTTATTAAGGCACATGAAAGTTCACATGTTCCAGAAAGCATTTCTGCTAAAAAACGCATTTTAATCCCCCCCAAAAAACCGTTCAAGTGCCTCTCCTGTGAAGTATTGACGTGCGACATATACCTAGCTCCTTGAAACGGGTCACAAATCATAGTGTAAAAGCAGGTGAGCTGATTGTACTCTTTTTGGCCACTTTCTGGTGTTTTGTGGTGGAAAACGTAGCGGGTCGATCATAACACGTCAACACTTTTACCCATAGATAGACAGGATATAAATGTTTAACATTTATTTTTTGTGAAGCTTGCATTCAATTGCCCCTACCTGTTGCACACAACAAACTTCCATTCCCACTGTCACAATGGGCTTTATTGCTGATTTAAGATGAAGTCGTCAACCCTGTTACTGTTTTTGGGGCACTTAATAGGCACTTACTATATTCATTGTTTTTAATTAACCTCTTGAGATGGGAAAACATTTTTTTTATTTAGTAGAACATGTGTTCTTTATGACAGAATTTTAAACTGAGGTGAAATATATATTTTTTAACAAAGTTACACTACCCAAAATATACTCATTTGGTGGAACAACCCATGCAGCAGTATGATAAAGCACTCCCATGTATCAACATTCTGTGTATAATTCAGACTACTATACTTGATGTGTCGCCTGTGACAATTGCTAATATGCTCGCTGAATCTATAATTACAATAGAAGCCTCAGTGACAATGGCATTTGTTAATGAGCTCTCAGTAACAACCAAATGAATCAGTAACAACCAAATTAGTTCTCTCTAATAAATACGGTGAGAGCCTGCCATGGTTCTCCTCTCTCTGTGTCCTACAACAGGAATAAATGATGCTGACAATGACCTTTTAAACCTTTCTTCACATGCCCAATGAGAGCATGAAGAACAACTTGTAGAATGATGATTACAATACAGTACAGGGTAACCAGTGTTGGATTTATCATGAAGAAAAACAGTAAAACATACTATCTGTCAGGTGGCGACGGTGAAATGCGGTAGGCGAAGTCAAACGCAGGACACAGAGCTTACTGGAAACGTACTTTACTTGAAAGTAACCAGAGAAGAAAACCATCTCCATACAAGGAGGAAAACAACCCGCACACTAACACTGCCGAAGACGAATACAATAACACACAACACACAATGCACGACAGAGGGTTAAATAGGGGAAACAATACAACATAATGGGGAACAGGTGTACACAATCAGGACAAAACAAGTCAAACACCGAAACATAGATCGGTGGCAGCTAGTACTCCCGGGACAACGAACGCCGAAACCTGCCCGAGCAAGGAGGAGGAGCAGCCTCGGCTGATTCCGTGACACTATCTTAGTTGATAATTATGGTAATGTGTATGAAAAGAATACACACATTGTTTTTGTTGAGTGGATTTGTTTGTTTTTAAAGTGCTTGAATAGACACCACAGCAGCTTATTTTGTCATGAACCAGGTTCCCATTTTCAGCCATTAAGTGAATTGCTATCATTTCCCTCTCAGTTAATTAAGTAGGAAGGACCCAATTATCCACCTTAATTACTAATAAATAAATGACAACACGCATGCGCACATGCACACACACAAACACACACACACACACACACACACAGACTCACACACACACACACACACACACACACACACACACACACACACACACACACACACACACACACACACACACACACACACACACACACACACACACACACACACACACACACACACACACACACACACACACACATATACACACACACACACACACACTTCTATCAAGGCTTCATCAGTGCATTTCCAGCGTGTCAGCACAGGAACCTCCCCCTACTGGTTCCAGCAGTCAGACCAGAGCTCTGTCTGTCTGTTTGTTTTCAAGGTGACTAATTTAATTTTCCTGATTTGACTGACCTTTGCGGGAGAGATATTTTGACGGCAATGATTTCCTGTCCCTTCAGGTCAGCAACCGGAGCAAAGCAGATCGGGGAATGGAGAGAGAGAAGCGCTCACAGGCCTACTTTATGTACCTGGTGCTCAGAGAAGATGTGAAGTGAGCTGTAAAGACATCTTTGTGACTGGCCACAGGACTGGAGCCAGGGGAATCATGGAGACTTGCTCATTTGGCAAATGTGCTTATTTAGCGAATCATGAAATCAACAAATGAACACTGTATTTATAGTAATCTATACAGTAAGTATCTATAATTGTGGTTGTATAGGAAATCTCACTGAGATATCAGTTACCTAGTCTTATCTGAGTCTTGTGAAATGGAATACATGGCAACAATGGTTATCCTTATTTACACTCTCTGTTTAATCAGAATATATCATATTATATTCACTCATTACATTGTATATATTCAAATGCATGAAGCTCTTCAGGTCATGTATTCCCACTGATATTGTACATTAAAGCTTGATGCTTTCCGCCATGTAGTTTTGCTGCTCCCTTTATATCTCCTCAGTCAGTCATATGGCCATTTAGCTACACCTTGGAGGCAGAGTGGGACAGGCACCATTCACCTTCGTGGAACATCACAGGCACCATTCACCTCCATGGAACATCATCAGGCACCATTCACCTCCATTGAACATCATCAGGCACCATTCACCTTCGTGGAACATCATAAATGTATGAGTGAAAACATAGACTATTTGATGTCAGTTGCCCACATGGTCCAATTCAGCAAATCCAAATAAATGTTTGATACTGTGATTCCGTCACGTTCCAGTATGAAACGTGTGAAGTTATGAACACCTACTTTAAATATGGTGAACATTAAATTATCCATACCCTCCAAGTGTTGTGTTTTGTTGTGACCAGGGATTAGAGCAAGGGGTGGGCAAAGTGCAGCCCGCGTATCCGGCCCACCGGCCGTATCCGGGCCGCCGGGCACTTCAATCCAGCCCGTGAGACATTTTTTAAATGTATTAAATATTATTATATTTGAGATACAATTATTGGCCTACAATTACTCATTCCATGATATACAAACAACCTACAATAGATGGCGCTGTAGCCTGGCAGCGCGCTCTGTATTTGGGCCTACAGTCAGATTCAGAATGCGCTCAGTCATCCTAGCCACTTCATTGCTTGACGACTTTTAACGTGAAAAATGAGTGCTGCGAAAATGAGAAAAGTAGACTCTGAAAGTCGTGTGTTTAAAGAAGAATGGACAGCAAAATACTTTTTGACTAATATTGGACATAAGGCGGAATGTCTGATATGCCAAGAAAGTGTTGCCGTTTTTACATTTACATTTTAGTCATTTAGCAGACGCTCTTATCCAGAGCGACTTACAGTTAGTGAATACATATTATTATTATTTTTTTATACTGGCCCCCCGTTGGAAACGAACCCACAATCCTGGCGTTGCAAACGCCATGCTCTATCAACTGAGCTACATCCCTGCCGGCCATTCCCTCCCCTACCCTGGACGACGCTGGGCCAATTGTGCGCCGCCCATGAGTCTCCCGGTCGCGGCCGGCTGCGACAGAGCCTGGATTTGAATCAGGATCTCTAGTGGCACAGTTAGCACTGCGATGCAGTGCCTTAGACCACTGCGCCACTCAGGAGTACAAAGGATTGTTCTCCGCTACTGTTTCAGAGATCTCTGTTTCCGCCCGGTTTTTAAGGAATATAATCTCAATCGTCATTTTTCAAGCAAGCATGCTAAAAGTATGTTAAAGCTGGAAAATGTTGTCAAAGTGGTTGTAAAACATGTCAACTTTATATGGGCAAGGGGGCTTAACCATAGTCAGTTCATTCAGCTGCTCAATGACACAGAGGCAGAGCACCAGGACTTGTTGTACCATTCAAATGTGCGCTGGCTAAGCCTGGGAAAAGTATTTAGCCGTGTGTTGGAACTGAGAGGGGAGATAGTGTTATATCTAGCCTAGCTGTAGAAGAACGCACATCTGCACAGTTTCACATTGTACATCACTCTGTCGTTTAATGACATGTGCCACTCATTCTGACAACCCATTCATCCGTAAAGCAGCACACTGTTGTAAACCATAACAACGTACAGTACGACGTACAGCACGTCGTACCATACATAACATTCCCCCCCCCCCTTTCCAAAACCAGGGACTGGTACCATATATAAAATGACCATAGGGCAAGAACCTAGAGTGATACCTGTAAGAAATAAACATTAACCCTTAAACGGAAGCCAGTTCAGTCCATTAACCTGGAGGTTGACTAAGACACCTAACAAAGCCTAAGAATTAAAAGAGGTTAAGTAGTCCCTCAGATGAGCAGGGCGAGTTCGTGCCCGCATAGGCCTTTCTTCAACCGCCTCCGCTTGTGGCTCTGGCCCTTGGGGAGCCCACAGAGGCTGGGGCTCGGGTGGTAGTGGTGGAGGAGGTCCATCCGGTGGCGTCTCTGGCCTGCATGTCTGTTTTGTGTGTATTCGTATTCCTCGAGGGGCAGGGACTTTTCTGAGGCGGCTGGCGTGCCAGCTTGATCCATTGCTCATCGTGAATGTGGCGGGCCCCAGTTGTCGACTGACCTGCAAGGGGTCCGACCAGAATGAGGCCATCGGGCTCGGACCAAGTCTGACACTTGGATGATCGACTTCTTCACCCTGTGTGCCTTGTCAAAATGCTGTTTCATTGCTCTTTGGTGCCTGGTCACTGCCTGCTGTTCTTGGGTGCGCCTAGTCGCCGGTTCTGCTACTCTCTGTGTTCTGAGTCTGTCCAGTGGCAGTTCCATCTCACGACCTAGCATGAGGGATGCCGGGGAGACCTGTGTTGTCGTGTGCTTGCTTGCTCTGTAGTGCATTAGCGTTTGATTCAAAGCAGTTTGGAACGTGCACCCCTGGACCAGGTGCACTCTGATGCCGTTCTTCAACGTTTGGTTGAAGCGTTCCACCCCTCCGTTAGCTTGTGGGTTGTAGTTGGCCGTGCGGATGTGTTTGATTCCCTTGTTGCTGAGATATGAGGAGAACTCGGTAGAGGTTAGCTGGCGCCCATTGTCCGTGGTAAGGGTGAGGGGTAGGCCCCACCTTGTGTACAGGCTGTCTAGGATGTCCACGATGGCCTGTGCTGTGACAGTTCCGACAGGAACCACTTCTGGCCACTTTGAGTGGAGGTCATACACCACCACCAGGAAGCGCTGATGGTGAGGGACTGCGTGTCCATGGATCTCGCCACAGATGTGCAGTTGGATGTGCTCCCAGGGGCGGGACGTCCATGCAAGAGGCTGCAGGGGGGGGTGGGGTGGACTGTCCTGTTTTCCCACTGAGGAGGCATGCAGCACAATCCCTGACCAGGGCTTCAATGTCGTGGTCGATGCCTGGCCACCACACAAGGTCTCGACATCGCTGTTTGACCTTCATTATGCCCAAGTGACCCTCGTGAGCCATGGATAGAACATGCGCACGCAGGCCACTCGGGACCACAGTGCAAAACCCTCGAGAGACACAGACTTCTTCCCAGCAAGAAAGTTCGTGCTTCACCCTGGCGAAAGTCGCCAGCTCTTCCGACACATGTGCTGGCCATCCAGTGTGTATGTAGGTGCGCAAGGTAGACAGTGTGGGATCCTGTTCCGATGCTTGCTTCAGCTCCTCCCAGTGAGACGACTGACTGAAGAGGAGCGTAGAGCATTTGTACAAGCTCTGTTTCGTTGTCGTCTGGCAAGACGGTTGGAGTAGGAGTGTCAAAGGAGCGTGAGAGGAGGTCTGCCACCACGTTATCCCTCCCCGGAGTGAACTTCAGCTGATAGTCATACTGTCTGAGACGGTCGGTCCATCTGTGCAGCCGTAGTGGCTTGTGGCCGGTTCCTGATGCCGACAGTAGCGTTGTGAGGGACTGGTGGTCGGTTCGGAGCGTGAACAGACGGCCATATAGGTAGAGGTGCCACCTTTCGCACGCCCAGACACAGGCCAGTGCTTCTCGTTCGCCCACAGAGTACCGTTGTTCTGTGGGGCTCAGGGCCCTTGAGGCGAAGGCGACGGGCCTCTCAATGCCATTCTGCAGCTGTGAGAGGACAGCTCCTAGTGCTCCAGCTGAGGCGTCACATGTGAGAATAGTGGGGCAGACGGGGTCAAAGTGAGCCAAGACTGGGGCTGTGGTGAGCTGGCTCTTCAGTGAGCGGACCGTGTCTGAGCAGGCTGCCGTCCAGACCCATGGCTCATCCTTCTTGAGGAGCTGGCGAAGGGGTGCTGTGGTCTGAGAGTAGTGGGGCAGAAACCAGAGGTAGTAAGCTGTCATGCCCAAGAATGAGGCCACCTGAGAGGCTGAGGTCGGTTCCGGGATCCGGTGGACGGCTTCAATGTTCGACATGAGTGGGGCAATGCCTTTGGCCGACAGGCGGAATCCCACAAACCAAACGGCTGGAGCTGCAAAGGTGCACTTTCCACCGTTAAGGGTCAGGTTGTTCCACAGTAGAGTAGTCCATCAAACAGAGTTGGCCAGTTCTGTTGCCATGTGCAGGTAAACTGGTGGATAGCTGACCCACTGTCATCTCTCAGTGTGAATCCTAAGCCTGTGAAGAGGTCCAATGTCTATCTTGGATCTACCGTACCCACACAGGGCAGTGGAGGGCTATTGGAGTGGTAGGTGACTGAAAAACTTGTAGTAAGTGGCAAGGTTGAGCAACGACACCGCAGCGGCAGCATCCAGCAGCAAAGGCAAACCCACCTCGCCCAGCTGCACAGTGCATGTCCTGAATGACACATGGTGGGTGGAGACGGTTCGGATTTCCGTGTGTTCATGTTGAGAGTGAGATGAAACTAAGGTTCTGGGTGGAGCTAGTAGCTTGGGCAGAACGACACACTTTTGCAAAGTGATTGTATTTTGAACAGTTCTTGCATATTTTCCCACGGGCTGGGCAGTTTGAAGCCCTTGAATTGTGAGAGCTAGCCCCACAGTTGCCACAGCTACTTCTGTTTGTTTGTCTGTGTGCCTGCTGCACGGGCATGCCGGTGTCTGTGTCCATGCAGCTATCGACGTGGGAGGGCGTGCGCAGCGCATGATCGTTGTAGTGCGCCTGCTCAGGCTGAAGCTGCTGTGTGAGAATGGCTGGGGGCTGAGTGTATGCTGCAGAGCTGTCTGTTAGCATAGTAGAGCATTCCAATGCCGCTTCAACCTGGAGTGCTATTTTAATAGCTCCATCTAGTTGTAAATTATCTGATTCCAAAAGCAGTTTCTCCCTTGTCTTGTCACATAACGTCCCCTCTATCAACTGATCCCTGATGATCTCGTCCTGAAGTGTCCCGTATTTACAAGAGCTAGCCAAATCCCTCAGATTAGCCACGTAGCTTTGAATGGACTCACCCGGCCGTTGGTGTCTCTTCCGTAGCCGGTAGCGTCGGAGGAGAACTCGCTCTTTCCCGGCGAAGTGGTTCCGTAGGAGGCTGACTGCAGCAGTGAATGTAGGAGCCGATCCAAGCGCTCTGAAAATCCTCTGTCCCTCTGTACCGAGGCAGTGACGGAGCAGTGCTGTCCTCCGCTTGTCGGAGATTGTAGAAAAGTCCATAGCTTCGAGATAAGTGTTAAAACTGTCAAGCCAGTTATTCCACGGGACTGGAGGTTCGCCAGGCACGGCAAGGAATGGTGCTGGCGGTGGTAAACTGAATTCAGCCATCTTCGTCGCCAATGTTATATCTAGCCTAGCTGTAGAAGAACGCACATCTGCACAGTTTCACATTGTACATCACTCTGTCGTTTAATGACATGTGCCACTCATTCTGACAACCCATTCATCCGTAAAGCAGCACACTGTCGTAAACCATAACAACGTACAGTACGACGTACCATACATAACATACATTTTACATTTTAGTCATTTGGCAGACGCTCTCATCCAGAGCGACTTACAGGAGCAATTAGGGTTAAGTGCCTTGCTCAAGGGCACATCAACAGATTTTTCACCTAGTCGGCTCGGGGATTAGAAACAGCGACCTTTCGGTTACTGGCACACGACATCCAATGTGACAGTGCTTTGAAGGAGAAATACAAAACAGCAACAATAGACCAGTTCTATGGCTCACTGAATGAAACAAAGTTTCCAAACATTAAAAAGCACGCCCAAAGGATGCTTGTTTTATTCGGGTCCACATATGTGTGTGAACAAACGTTCTCAGTCATGAATTACAACAAATCCTGTCACAGGTCAAATTTAACAAATTACCACTTGTCAGCTGTTCTGAGAATCTCTATATCAAAGATGACACCAGAATTTAATGCCCTTGCCAAGAGAGGTGACCAGACCCATTGTTCACATCAAGACTCAAATAACCGTGACTGTGGTAGGCAAGGATTATGCTTTTTCATGGTGATGGTTATGCAATGAGAATTATCCAGCAATGCACTTGGATACAGGTAATAACTAATCAGCCAGATTTGGGCTGAGGTGATTGGAAACTGTAAATATGGCTCACAATGGAGATGAGAATTGTTCCTTAATATGCTTAAAAAAAACAGACCATTCCAAATGAAACGGATGCTCTTACCATATGTTTCACTCAAATTTTAGAATTTTATTTTTATTTTTTACACATCTGCTGTTACATTTTGCATGTCTCCAGTCATATAATATATATCTATTTTTAAGTTTGCATATTGTGACTGTAAGTTTTATTGTACTTTACAAGGGTAGAGATGCAGGATCTGTGTGTGTGTTTGACTGTGTCTGTGATGTTATAAATTATATCAATTTTGTGAAAAATTTGTGAAAAATGTGTTCGCAAAAAACAAGGTTAGAGATGGAAGGGTAGAATCACGTATATAGTATGTGGCCCTTCACTTGGTTTCAAAAACTCAATGTGGCCCTTGAGCCAAAAGGTTTGCCCACCCATGGGTTAGAGGCTCTGCGTGTTTGTGTGCACGCACACACACACACACGCATGCATGCTCACACACACACACACACACACTTCTATCAAGGCTTCATCAGTGCATTTCCAGCGTGTCAGCACAGGAACCTACCCCTACTGGTTCCAACAGCCAGACCAGAGCTCTGTCTGTCTGTTTCTCTTCAAGGTGACTAATGTAATTTTCCTGATTTGACTGACCTTTGCCGGAGATGGTTTGACGGTAATGATTTCCTGTCCCTTCGGGTCAGCAAACGGAGCAGAACAGAGCAGATCAGGGGAGTGAAGAAAGAGTGGAGAGCGCACAGGCCTACTTTGTGTACCTGGAGATGTGAAGTGAGCAGTAAAGACATCCTTGTGACTGGCCACAGGACTGGAGCCAGGGGAAGGAAATGTCTGCTCTTCTTTCACGACTGTTTACAGCACTATACACTCACTACCCCCAGCAACAGCATACAGTGCATTCAGAAAGTATTCAGACCCCTTGACCTTTTCCACATTTTGTTACGTGACAGCCTTATTCTAAAATGGATGAAATAGCTTTTTTTCTAATCAATCTACACACAATATCCCATAATGACAAAGCAAAAACTTTATACATTTACATAAGTATTCAGACCCTTTACTCAGTACTTTGTTGAAGCACCAATGGCAGCGATTACAGCCTTGAGTCTTCTTGGGTATGACGTTACAAGCTGAGTCTTCTTGGGTATGACGCTACAAGCTTGACACACCTGTATTTGGGGAGTTTCTCCCATTCTTGTCTACAGATCCTCTCAAGCTCTGTCAGGTTGGTTGGGGAGCGTCGCTGCACAGCTATTTTCAGGTCTCTCCAGAGATGTTCAATCGGGTTCAAGTCTGGTCTCTGGCTGGGCCTCTTAAGGACATTCAGAGACTTGTCTCGAAGTCACTCCTGCGTTGTCTTGGCTGTGTGCTTAGGGTCGTTGTCCTGTTGGAAGGTGAACCTTCGGCCTAGTCTGAGGTCCTGAGCGCTCTGAAGAAGGTTTTCATCAAGGGTCTCTCTATACTTTGCTCCGTTCATCTATCCCTCGATCCTGACTAGTCTCCCAGTCCCGGTTTCTGCCAGACGTGACGCTTGGCACTCAGGCCAAAGAGTTCAATCTTCGTTTCATCAGACCAGACAATCTTGTTTCTCATGGTCTGAGTCCTTTAGGTGCCTTTTGACAAACTCCATGTGGGCTGTCATTTGCCTTTTATTGAGGAGTGGCTTCTGTCTGGCCACTCCACCATAAAGGCCTGATTGGTGGAGTGCTGCAGAGATGGTTGTCCTTCTGGAAGGTTCTCCCATCTCCACAGAGGAACTCTGGAGCTCTGTCAGAGTGACCATCGGGTTCTTGGTCACCTACCTGACCAAAGCCCTTCTCCCCCGATTGCTCAGTTTGGCCGGTCAGCCAACTCTAGGAAGAGTCTTGGTGGTTCCAAACTTCTTCCATTTAAGAATGATGGAGGTCACTGTGTTCTTGGGGACCTTCAACGCTGTAGAAACTTTTCGGTACCCTTCCCCAGATTTGTGCCTTGACACAATCCTGTCTTGGCACTCTCTGACAATTCCTTTGACCTCAAGGCTTGGTTTTTGATCTGACATGCACTGTCAACTGTGGGACCTTATATACAGTGAGGGAAAAAAGTATTTGATCCACTGCTGATTTTGTACGTTTGCCCACTGACAAAGAAATGATCAGTCTATAATTTTAATGGTAGGTTTATTTGAACAGTGAGAGATAGAACAAAAAAATAAAATAAATAAAACGCATGTCAAAAATGTTATAAATTGATTTGCATTTTAATGAGGGAAATAAGTATTTGACCCCTCTGCAAAACATGACTTAGTACTTGCTGCTCACTCACCATTTTGGATAAGAACACAGCCATGAATAAAGTATGGTACTAACACATCCTCCGAGAGCAACCTCTCTCAACCAACCAAGAACAGTTTGGTGACGAACAATGCCTTTTCCAGCATGATGGAGCACCTTGCCATAAGGAAAAAGTGATAACTAAGTGGCTCGGGGAACAAAACATCGACATTTTGGGTCCATGGCCAGGAAACTCCCCAGACCTTAATCCCATTGAGAATTTGTGGTCGATCCTCAAGAGGCGGGTGGACAAACAAAAACCCACAAATTCCAAGCATTGATTAAGCAAGAATGGGCTGCCATCAGTCAGGATGTGGCCCAGAAGTTAATTGACAGCATGCCAGGGCGGATTTCAGAGGTCTTGAAAAGCCTTTGACACTTATGGAATGCTTGTAATTATACTTCAGTATACCATAGTAACATCTGACAAAAATATCTAAAAACACTGAATCAGCAAAATTTGTGAAGACCAATACTTGTTTCATTCTCAAAACTTTTGACCACGACTGTAGACAGGTGTGTGCCTTTCCAAATCATGTCCAAGCAATTGTATTTACCACAGGTGTACTCCCATTAAATTGGAGAAACATCACAAGGATGATCAATGGAAACAGGATGCACCTGAGCTCAATTTCGAGTCTCATAGCAAAGTATCTGAATACTTATGTAAATAAGGTATTTCTGTTTTTTCTTTTTCTTTTTGTCATTATGGGGTGTTGTGTGTAGATTGATGAGGAAAATATTTAATTTAATCCATTTTAGAATAAGGCTGTAACGTAACAAAACGTGTAAAAAGTCAAGGTGTCTGAATACTTTCCAAATGCACTGTAACTCAGTACTTTACAACACACTGTTAAAGTCTCTCACACTTGCCCTGCTGTGTACAAGCTGCTGGGTGATGTTTTCTCTCTTGATTGTCTGTAGTACGCTGTTGACTGTACCCACTGACAGTATTTGAATATGAAGCTCTCTCCCTCTTCACATAATGCTTCCAGTTGATGGTGAAATGATTGGTTAACATACAGTAGCTTCTTTCACTGCTTTCCTCAGCCAGTTAGCTAGCTGATCACTTTTCTATCATGGAGACTTGCTCATTTGGCAACTGTGCTTATTTAGCGAATCATGACATCAACAAATGCACACTGTATTTATAGTAATTTATAATTATCTATAATTGTGGTTGTAAAGGAAATCCCACTGAGATATCAATTACCTAGTCTTATCTGAGTCTTGTGAAATGGAATACATGGCAACAATGGTTATCCTTAGTTACACTGTCTCTTTAATCAGACACAAGATATCATATTATATTCATTCATTACATTGTATATATTCATATGCATGAAGCTCTTCAGGCCATGTATTCCCACTGATATTGTACATTAAAGCTTGATGCTTTCCCCCCGTAGTTTGCTGCTCCCTTTATATCTCCTCAGTCAGTCGTATGGCCATTTAGCTACACCTTGGAGGGAGAGTGGTACAGGCACCATTCACCTTCGTGGAACATTATCAGCCACCATTCACCTTCATGGCGCATCATCTGGCACCACTCACCTTCATGGAACATTATCAGTCCCCATTCATCTCCATGGAACATCATCAGCCACCATTCACCTCCATGGAACATCATCAGGCACCATTCACCTCCATGGAACATTATCAGGCACCATTCACCTCCATGGAACATCATCAGGCACCATTCACCTCCATGGAACATCATCAGGCACCATTCACCTCCTTGGAACATCATCAGGCACCATTCACCTCCATGGAACATCATCAGGCGCCATTCAACTCCATGGAACATCATCAGGCACCATTCACCTCCATGGAACACAATCAGGCACCATTCACCTGCATGGAACATCATCAGGCACCATTCACTTTCATGGACACTCATCAGTTTATTACTCTTTGATGTCAGTTGCCCACAAGATCCACTTTAGCTAATCGGAATAAATATTGGATACTGTGATCCCGTCACATTCCGGTATGAAATGCGGGAAGGTATGAACACCTACTTTAAACATGGTTAACATTAAATTCTCCATACCCGCCAAGTGTTGTGTTTTGACCTGGGGTAAAAGGCTTTGTCTGTCTCTGTGTGTCTGTGTGTGTATGTGTGTGCATGTGAATGTGTGTGTGTGCTTGCGAACGTGCGCCTGCGAACAAGTGTTGTGAGTGTTGTGATCTGGGGTAAGAGGCTCTGTGTGGGTTTGTGTGGTAAAAGGTGCTTTGTTCCACTCTGCCTCATCGTTACTATCCTAGGGGCCAAGTGCAGTTTGTCAACCCATGGGGGATATCCTCTATAACAAAGAACCTGTCTGTTGTGTGGCGGGAACTCAGCAACCAAAATAAAACGTGTTCAAGAGTTTCATTTCATATCCAGATGGCTTCACTCTCCAGTGCTGTGTTGCATTCAAATACATTTAAATCCCCCAGTCAAGTCTAAAGGGCTGAAAATCAGCACAGATATCATTTTTCCAGACCTTAAATAGACAGTATTATATTTGTTATATGTTGACTTAAAGTGATCTCAGTTACCTTTCAATTATACTGTTAAACTTCCCTTCTTTCACTCTCTTTTACATTGACTGAACGTGTGCAAAGCTGTGTGCTGCAGGCCTATGTGTAATACTGTCAATTAAGCAGTTTGTGGGATATTGTTTTGGGAGATTAGGAAGCAGCTGTAGTTGGCGGTTGTATGTGTACATGTGTGTGTGTGTGTGTTCCTACAGATCCAGTTCACTCTGCCTGTTGGAGCCAGAGGCCCAGTTTGTTCAGTTGGTAAACCTGAGAGACTAGAGTGAGATGAGAGGATCTGGCCCCATAGAAGAGTCAATAGCTTTCCAAGAATATCTTCTAGGATATAGCCTCAGCTGCTTCCCATGCTTCATGATGGGTCTGTGTTCGAGATGTTCATGTCTGTTGTTATATAGGCAATAGCTGATCACTGTTATCTTCCAAGTTTTGTCAGCTTTCCCACATGTATCTAAACTATGGGCCCTATATTAATATGTAACAATATCACTCTATAACACACCATATTATCTCTCTAGTGACTTGTTAAGGTGATCTGTTAAGATAGAGCCCCTCCGTGTGTCCCAGTCGAAATTGTTGTGCCTGAGAATTGTTGATTCCTTCGTGATTCTCTGCAGCAGATATTGGAACATGGTCAAGGCTTCATTCAGGTAGGTAAATATAACCCTGAGCATCAGGCACACACAGGCGCACACAGGCGCACACAGACACACACACACACACACACACAGAGGGGGCAGAGTGTGGAGGATTATCCCTATGGAGTCCTTTTTGCATAGAAATCAGCCATGAATGTGCTGTACAGGGCCACAGGCGACTCAAGCTATAACATAATTGGGCAGAGCTTAGCTTTCTCTCTCTCTCTCTCTCTCTCTCTCTCTCTCTCTCTCTCTCTCTCTCTCTCTCTCTCTCTCTCTCTCTCTCTCTCTCTCTCTCTCTCTCTCTCTCTCTCTCTCTCTCTCTCTCTCTCTCTCTCTTTCTCTCTCTCTCTCTTTCTCTCTCTCTCCCCAGAGCTGGCCATGACACTCCCTTAATAATCTCCAGGCTGACACTTAGTAGAGGAACTCCAGTGATACCATCCCCTGGAACAGAGACATCTCTCTTTATCTGTCACCTGCATATGCAGCGAGTGGCGTAGTTAGGAACAGGGGTTAGCCTACATTTTAGAGTAGGAATGAGCTAAAATCACAGGCTAAAAATGCAAAGATCAGATTCCGATGTGTGACCGAGGTGTTTTAGATTCATGTTAGCAGCACTGTATTGTGTACTGACAAAGATTATTCTCGTTAGAATAAGGTATTGAATCAGTGTGTTGATTATAATCATGCTATCATATTATTATTATATAATGTTGCTTACAATGGCATTGTATGATTTTGTTGTTGATCATTTCTTTATATTATACGGAAACAACAGATATGGCTTATGAGTAAACATTCTAGAAGTCACCCCGACGTGGTGTCAGATATATCTTTATTCTTTGAGACAGGGCAATCAGAATGCAGGAGACAGATTACAGACACCTGGCATTAAAAGTAATGAAATAGAAATCAAAGCCGGGCCTCTCCCTAATCCCCCTGGATAGGCTGTCGATCTATTAAAGAGGAGGAGCACAAATCCTACAGGGAAATTCTTACCTGGATGGACGGGAGGGAGGAAGAGAGAGAGAACACCTTATGACTGGGCCATTTCAATATCCTCTTCCCTCCAGATGAGAAAGAAGCAGCATCAGAATGGCAAAGAAGTTTATCAACAACTTATTTTATTTATGCCAAGACCTTTGTTGTTGCCTATTTACATATTGTTATTTTGTTACCGGGGTATTATTGCAGAAATGGCCCTGAAGGGCAAACCTAAAAGTATTATGCATCACTGAAAAACGGTGGCTCTCCGACTATGCCATTTATCTCAATTTGATGATGATAGCTGCTCTGTGTTGCTCTGTGCTGGATAATATTTAAGAGGCTTCTAGCAGGGTGGGTAGCCTATAGCCTACATCCACTGTGTCCAACCATGCAGTGTGGCTTAACGGAGCTATAGACTGTAGTGGAGTGTAAATATTGTTTTCTGTTCTCCAGCTCTATAAAATTGATTGATTTACTGGCCCCAGCCCAGAGACTATATTTCCCCATCCGGATGAACAATAGTAGCAGTAGTTGTTGCCACCAGAGCTTGGAAATAAATGCCTCCTGTTTAAAGATTGTGCCTATCGGCCTTTAACACAGAGTTAACAGAGTTTGTCCAGTAAAAAGAATGCCACTGGTGTCCTCCGATTAGTCCTATCTCTCTATGTTTCTACTGCTATATATAAAACATATTATACCAAGCTGTCAACTATTGACGTTATCACACCATGAGCATACAGGAGAAACAACGCGGAGGTGGCTATATCTTGATAAAAACGTGTTTATTGTCATTCAGAGAGAGAGAGAGAGACAGAGAGAGTCACTGTGAGTGCTGCTTATCTTCAGGTGATTTCTCTCAAAACAAGCAGTGATTGAAGTGCATGGCTGTGTGCTCGATTCTATACACCAGTCAGCAAGCTGAATTTTAGGACCCCTATAGATATCCCGAAAAACATATATAGAAAATATTGAGTTTGGTTTGGGGAAGGCCCATTCCTGTTTCAGCATGACAATGCCCCCATACACAAAGTGAGGTCCATACAGAAATAGTTTGTCGAGATCGGTGTGGAAGAACTTGACTGGCCTGCACAGAGCCCTGACCTTAACCCCATCAAACACCTTTGGGATGAATTGGAATGCCGACTGCGAGCCAGGCCTAGTCGCCCAACATCAGTGCCCAACCTCACTAATGCTCTTGTGGCTGAATGGAAGCAAGTCCGCACAGCAATTTTCCAACATCTAGTGGAAAGCCTTCCCAGAAGAGTGCAGGCTGTTATAGCAGCAAAGGGGGGGGGGGGGCAATTCCATATTAATGCCCATGATTTTGGAATGAGATGTTCGACTAGCAGGTGTCCACATACTTATGGTAATGTAGTGTATGTGTGGCACCATGTTTGTTGACATCATAAAATGCATTCTGGTTGTCACGTAAGCGTCTGTCAGACCAAAGATGTTATAACAAAAACAAGGTGAAGGTTTAGTTCACTCGACTGACTTATGGCACTTTCAAGACATGTTATGTTTTTTGTCAGTGCAACCTGTTACCTGCTGTGGATGTGTTCCGTGTGATGCTTGGATGATGAAGTTCGCATTTATCTTTTACAATAAAAGGTGAAATTGAGGAATAAAGTTGCGAAGACCTTTATTTCCCATCAGTACAAAACATTGTTTAGATGCTTTTCAGACAACAGTGCTGTTTAGATGCGTTTCCTGCATCATACGTTATGTTGATACTGTTCCAATCACACATTTGCAATGGCACGCTGCAGGGACCGCTCAACAATGATCACAAATATGTGATCGTACGCGTCAAAGGGTTAAGACACATGAAAGTTCACGTTCCAAAAGGAATTTCTGCCAAAAAGCGCATTTTCATAGAACAATAAATGTTTACGTTCAAATGCCAATTTACTGAAACGAGTCACATACATATATTTTGACACATACTGTATTTAACCCCTTTTTTGGGGTAGGCACAAAACTACCTTCATACTTCCATTCGTTTTCTTAAACCAGTACCAGTTACCTTCAGATGAGTCCCGTGACCTTCAGACATGTCCCGAGTCTGTTCTCCGAGCAAAACGGAGAACATCATCGTGTTCGTGAGAGTCTCCCCTTTCCATTGAGTAGTTTTGTAGGACAAACTGCTGCTGTTTAGTTTCTGCCCCCAAAACACTAGATTTAGTATTTCCCCGTGATGCAACAAGGTTTGGGCAGGGTGTGTATTTGTTTGTGCATGCGTGCTTACATGCTTACATGCGTGCATGTCTCCACGTGAGGAGCTTTGGGTGATGAGTGGAAAAAAATACAGTTGAAGTCGGGAGTTTACATACAACTTAGCCAAATACATTTAAACTCAGTTTTTCACAATTCCTGACATTTAATCCTAGTATAAATTCCCTGTCAGTTACGATCACCACTTTATTTTAAGAATGTGAAATGTCAGTAGATTTATTTCAGCTTTTATTTCTTTCATCACATTCTCAGTGGGTTAGAAGTTTGCAAACACTCAATTAGTATTTGGTAGCATTGCCTTTAAATTGTTTAACTTGGGTCAAACGTTTCAGGTAGCCTTCCACAAGCTTCCCACAATAAGTTGGGTGAATTTTGGCCCATTCCTCCCGACAGAGCTGGTGCACACGCGTTTTCAGTTCTGGCCACACATTTTCTATAGGATTGAGGTCAGGGCTTTGTGATGGCCACTCCAATACCTTGACTTTGTTGTCCTTAAGCCATTTTGCCACAACTTTGGAAGTATGCTTGGGGTCATTGTCCATTTGGAAG